ATTTTTATCCGAAATCAATCAACTAGAAATTTTCTATGAAGCTATACTTCTCGGTTCGTTTGATGCTTCTGTCCAGTTAGAGATACTGCTAATTCTTTGTAGTTCCACGGTAGCGGACATTTTTATCCGAAATCAATCAACTAGAAATATATATATATATATATATATACTGTATATATAGTGTCAATACCATTTGTTCTCATTATTTCCTGCATATTGAGTCATTCTTGGGAAAAATTGACTAAGTTCATTACCCCAGGTTACAGACAGGTTGGCAAGCATGTAGTTTAGATAAGAATAATGGAAAAAAAAGTTTTGACAATTTCGTAATCCTTTTAAGATGAAATTTACACCAACCGGAAGTGAGAATGCTGAAACTATTATAGGTGCAAAAAGAATTTTCGCGTTTCGTTTCCGTTTGCAAGCCAGAAAGAACTGCTCGGAGGATAACGTAGAAAGATTTTTGACCGGCTGTACGCAATCTGGTGACGGTCACGGCGTACCGGATGCTGGCTCCCCGAGACCGGAAATGGCTCTTCCCTCCATACTTGACGAATCTGAATTTTGTAGTCGGGGTCGTAGGAGGTCGGCCGGACGTTCCTCCAATATGGGAAATTGAATGTCGCTAGATGGAAAGGTGGTGAGGCGAGGATTTTCAAATCATACGATCAAAAAAAAAAAACCACGTGTCTGCAACCATTGACCAATCGATACTTTGGCATCCGAAAAACTTCACATCATTCCCAATAAAAATAACCGATAAAATTCATATGTATTCGTGTAAACTATCAGACTCACTCTGCGAGGTAAAAATTGCAAGAAAAGTCGAAAATAAAGGAAAAACCCAAAAAATAAAATTTTTCAACAAAACTAAAACTAAAATTCATCGAACGATCGAGACTGGGAATCTAAGGTAAATTCAGGTGAGAGACTAATATTTTTTGCGCAATTCTTCTATCTCATCGGAAAAGTATAAGTCGGAGAATCCGAAGAAAAATAAAAGAAAGAATTCAAACACGAAACTCTAACAATGCCGTGCAAAATATATTTTTACCAATAAGAAGACACAGAAAGGACTCTTTGTCTTGCCTGGCACCTTTGTCAAGCTTCGGTCGCATTTTCCAAGTCTTCTCGAGTCGCAAGCGAAACTGATCGCTACTCCGAATGCTCATCGTTTGAGAAGCAAATGTCAACAGATAAAAACAATCTCGCGATATCACGTGTCCCGTCTGGCCGGAAGCCTCCGCGACTCTATTGCTACCGCTTGAAGTTCTATCTTGGAAAAAAAAAACCCATTAAAGATTATTTCTCTTACAGTATATATGCACTAAGAATAAATTCACCAAAAGAAATACTCTATCTAAACTCTATGAAAACTGACACTCGTACAAATCCAAGATCCAATCGAATTGAATCGTCAAAAATTAACGAGGGTCAAATCGACCGAGTCACCTTACTCAAGTCCCCTTAATTACTATAGAATAAGTGGGTGAAGTATATATTCGAAATACAAACGAAAAATTAAAAAAGCTTTTAAAACACTTAAAAAGCATCAAACTGTATATTATATTTGTATATAAGTACCTAGCTGTCCTGAGACACGAAATAATTTATATACATACATTGCTTGTAGAATAGTGTCTGACTGCGCGTTGTTAATCTCTGCTAAGGTCTCGCCATTTACCAGCTTCCTATACATTAATCCCAAGTACATTTGGCAAGCTCAACTTTCCGCTGATATCAGCTCTGTTTAATAGCTTAAAGCGTAATAAGCGTGATAATTTTGTCAGAGTACCAGAAAACGTACGTAATATCGTACAACGTACGATCGTACAGATACGCGTAACTGAACGTATAAAAAATGTACAATATACAAGGGAAAACCGAGTTCAGTTAAAATCTCCAGAACGATCATACTATATACAATGACAATCAGCGTCCGAAGAGTAAAAAAAGCAATTGTGTCTTGTTAATTAAATTTTTCTTTATCTCCGCGTCAAGAAATTTCAATAAAAAGGGAGTAAAGTCTCGTTGAGTCAAGACTCCAATTTCTTATTCAATACTTCTTGGTCGAATCCTTTCCCCTTAATTCAATCGTCACGATACGACGTCACCACTCGAAGTGTATTTTTTTTTAATTTTACAGATTTACCAAATATTAGCAGTAAACAATTCCCACGTATACACACAAAATAACAATCGAGTTATATATCATGTATGAACAGTCACCTTTATGGCAAACAATGTGGCTTCGCTGTTTGTCCATCTAGTATCAAACTTTAGTACTATGTCAACGAACCTCACGCCTTGGCCACTGATCTAACACGCAATGCACCGTCTAAGGCATAAACTGTTTCGTGACCCGACATAAAGTACAATGTAAAATATATCTAGTAACTTTTTCCCCATATAACCTCTCAAATATTTTCGATAAAGTGTGATCCTACGTGAAATAGAATTTAAATTTACCGCCATTTTCATAGACCTAAAGACACATCGATCCGTCGCTTCTATGTGACCTGGAGCAGGAATATTTTTGTAACCGTGATTTTTTGTCATTTCAGGACTCAAACCAAGAATGAAGAATCACTATCGGGCTCATCAGCTTTCAGTCTGGTTGAGGCTGGTACCTGAACTTCATCGAGCTGGAATGGAGGACGTGGAACCTAGACACAATCTTTTCCGAGGTCACGCCGATCCCAGCCTATACGATGGTTCTGTGAGACCCGATCCGCTCAGTAGGATCGGCGAAGAATATCGAAGGCGAAATGCTACTACAGAGCCACCCACTACCACGGATTACAGTATAACTACTTGTGTCAGTTTGATACAAAGTACTAATCTACAGAACGTGCACAACGCTAGTACAGATACGCTGGCCAGTTTGGACGCTGCTGGGTAATAATTTGAAAAGACAAAAGAGTATTAGCCATTGTTAATACACGTTAACGATATTTCCTAATGAGCGATAATTATCGAATTATCGAACCGATTGATTAATTTCCAGATATGCAGCCTACTCTACAGCCCTGAGCGTCACTATAGCTATTGGATGCAGTTTGCTCATACTGAATGTCCTTATATTCGCGGGTGTTTATTACCAGAGAGATAAAACGAGACTGGAGGTAAAGAGCCTCCAGCAACAACAGATGATGAATCAACAGTGTGGTCCCAGAGGTTTCACTGAACTGAAGCAACCGCCTCCGCCCCATTCTCATTTTCCTGGCAGTGGTCAGGTTATCGTTGACGTTGAAAATGAGATGCTGAGAAGGTATGAAATTTCCTGTTGGCTCAATCAATACGATACTTCATCTCGAGGTGGTGTTGATCTTTCACTTGGGGATCTTGAATTTTGCAGAAACGCCATGAAGGCACAGCCTAGCGATGCAAATGCTTTGCTTCAACAAGGCCAAGGCACTCATACGCTGCCCCATCAACATCACTATCAGAAACATCAGCATCAACAACATGCCACGCTGCCTAGAGCTTCGATGATACAAGATATGAATACGCAGACCCAGGTCAGTCTAGTGAAATTGAGTATCTTCAGCGACCATCAACTTCGACTTTGTCGCGTTGAATAAATAATTGTTCTTCAGGGTCCACCGAACGGGTCCATTCATCTGACGATACCCAGAGCACCACCACCACCCAGGACGAAGAGTCCACCAGAGAATCAGCCTCTTCTTCAAGGTGCAACCGTCTCCAGCCGTGTGTCTCAGGCGACAATAAGCGAGATGAGAGTGTGATGCATGGACCCCCCTCCGAAGCCTGTCGTCCCTGATGTCCTCACGGCATCAACCTTGCTCTAAGAACTTCATTCGCTAATGACTTCGGGCCAGGAAGACCACGGGATGGCGTCGCTTTCTTCGTCTTCGACTAGAGACATCTTGATCCGTTGACTGAGGCGATCGGGAAGAGGATCAAGTTCCTTCGAGAAATCCTTGAAGCTCTGCGACTTCAGTTCTCGTATTTGTCAGCTTGTCAGGATCTCCTGGTAAACATTGAAGATGAAGAGAGCGCAGCCGACCTGTCAACGACGACGGAGGGGGGTTTGTGCCAAGTGTAAACGTGCGATACGTGTTATTAATAGGATTGATCGGGAATAAAATTTGATCGGGAGATATCGCTTAAGGGGTGCTGAATACCGATCGACATTGTTGACGATATTCTTTTACTTGAAAAAGAAAAAGAACGAGATCTAGACACGAGTTGTGGTGAACGTTTACTATATAAACTGTAATGTAATGGTAAAACGATATTGAGTATTAAAAGATGATTGGATAAAGACTTGTAAAGTAAAATTTTATGCCAATACAAGGTACAGCACGTGGATCGATTATTTTCTGTGAAGTCGTACAGAAGTGATAACGCGTGAAGCTGCGGTATATATTACTTATGACTTTAATTGGAGTTACCTTTAGGGATGATGTGACTATAGACGGTGGCTCAAGAACTAATAATGGCATCGAATATTGATGCCGAGAAAAATTAAAGAGAATCAATTTAAAAAATTACTGGGCACTAATAAGTACCGACAAGATCAACTAATTCGCATAGATTTTAGTTTGGGGTACTCAACAATCAAATGGAACTTCAATCAAACACTTCCAGGCGAAATTAAAGAGGTACGTTGAAGGGAGATAGGTAATCAAAAATGAATTTTAAATGTTATGCGAGAATATGGCTCAAATTGTAACGATGATCAAGAACCGTGTATAAATTCTATCTACATGATGTTAGATGTTCCTTGTAAATAAACAAAAAGAAAAAGAAAGACTTTATACGTAAGAATGCCAAAAGTTTGCTACCTTGTAAGAAGGCCCTACCTGCAACAGGTAGTCCGTATTCTTTTTGCATACTGTATATTTTATCGTTCCGAGGCTTGCGATGGGAAGCGTGATGCCAAATTATTGCTCGTGATTGGAGAATGGAAAAAGCATCGAACGCACGTTCAAATATGATTTTTTAAATACTTTTTGAGCACCGCAACAAATAATAACTCTAAGTTTGCTCGATTGTCTTGTGCAATTGCCATCGCCAAAAAGATGTGCATACACGCTTAACATTGCATAGATTTCAACGTGATACTTATTTTGATTTTTGCAAAGACGAATTCATGTTTGTATTTAAAAATTCTTGAAACACGCCAGAAGTTTGTAAACTGGATATCTCTTCTCATCGATTCCAAAGACACAATTTTTCATTGAAAACTACAAAGCTGCAAACAGCAAAAAGACTGCCCGACGACATAAGACTTAGTTACAATATATTTGCACGTTTCGTATCTTCACAGTTAAAAGACACATGTTGCAAAAAGAAATGACATATAATATTTACACTGATTCCAAGATTTCACACAAAAATAACACTACGTTAAATTGATCACGGTAAGAAGCGAATTCCAAACAAAAAAAAAATTCAAAAAACCGTGAAACAGACAATTTCCAGAATTCGATACGTTCATCGAGTTTTTGAAATTTTTGACGAGTTACATGTTTTTTGCAATTCCAATTACGCCTTCCACGTAAACTAAGTGCAACGTGGAATAACGTGAAACTATTATGCATAGCGTACTGCCACGTAAGTCGGTGTCGTCCGATGACAAAGAAAAATTAATGCGATAATTTGCCAAGTGTGAGATGCAACTGAATTTGGATTACTGTATATATTTAAGAAAAATTGCCGGAACGTGTTTTACCTGTGTATCTGTGTTTTACGGACTTCGACTAACCAATGGACGAATGCGAACGGATGTCTGCTTGCTCGGCCATAATCGACTAATCATTCTTTTGTAACATAATTATTTCACATCTTGCGGCGAGAAACTATAGGAGCGCGAGTAATGGTGAAAAGGGTCACTTCGCCGAATGAGTTTAAATGCGGCACACCGTATAACTGGAAATCGTGAATACAATATCATTAAATATGGACAATCCGACTACGATAAAGATTAAAGTGAGTAGCTATTAAAATTTCGAGGATGCGAGAGAGAAATGAACTACTTGACGTTTAAGACGTTTATGAAATTTAAATACTATATGAATATAAATAAATGAAATAACATATACATATATATATATATATATATATATATATATGTGTGTATGTATATATATATATATATATATTGTATAAATAACGGGGATTGTAATGAATTTATTATAATTATTATATTAATACGATTTTTAGCTGACCTCACGTTCGTGCCCAAACGCTTTTCAAAGAGCTTTTCTGGTACACCGTGAGGTCGCGTGTTATGTTTAACGATTTTGTTGTCAAATTGTAAATATATAACGAAATATATGGAAATATTAATTGTATTCCACGCACTTGTAGAATTCATTCTCAAACATTAATACCCGTCCATGAACCTTGCGAATCCAGGTTCGTGGAAACGAAGCAGTTGACGTTAATAAAAGCTCGAGAAACCAAGCCAAAAAAAAAAATATTGGTTTCCGGATCAAAGGGAAACAGAGACGGATCTCGGTGAACACAAACCTTTATTCATTTCGTTTTTGTTTAAAGCTCCACTATTTTAACTATTAGTCGCCACATACAGTTATGACAAGTTTTTGCAAAATTTCGTGAGATTCATTCGACTAACGAAATCGCATACTAAAACAGTACAAAAGATTTGTCTCGTTACGACAACGACACATGTCACTTGGAGATTTCATTCCTCGTGGATGGTTACATGGTTAATTATTTTAATTTTTAATTCCTTCCATTCACAACCCGACTAATTATCACGCGTATCGCCAGTAAAGACACCGATATTAAATTCCAATCCGACAGACTGATAAGAAATCAATATAACACGCTAAATTTCAACTGCAGTACCGAGCATTGGATAACCGTACTGTATCTCATTGATCGCAACTGGGTCAAAGTTCAAAGTTCATCTTATCGACGTATATCGCTGAAGCTTTTTTCTTTTCAGTGTCAAAATTCATAAAACAACGCTCGCGTTATATAATTTTACGATGTGACCCTCATAAATGAATAAATATACAAAAAGTATCTATAATTTAGAACAAGTCAAATATATACGTAACGATATCGGTATCTTCACTTTGATTAATTCCTCCATTATTTCAACCACTATAGAAATCCTCATACTTTCCTCCAATAGCGTCTCGTTGCGGCACGAATAAAAGTGTATGAATTGAAAAGACTCCACGTACCTCTTAACCATAGAGTATAACAATGACAATTGGCATATGCATTAGCTACAGCTACGTAGCTCAAAGCTAAAACGATAGTCCACGCTCGCTATTATTGAATATGAATTCATTTTTTTCCCACTACGTTAAAATAATAAATGCAATGTCAATTTTCTTCAAATTAACAATCGATCATCACATCGCACACCATATCGACAATTATGACAGATCATAAGGATATTTAGCAATGATGCTTTCCACCATGCCAGTCACGTTAACGCAGAAGCCTCGCACATCGTTCGCAAAACACTAAGTTTTTCCTTTACCTTCTTAATTCCATCAAATGCACACGCTTGCACAATCTATTATTTACTTCGTGTAAACGAGACTTGATAATCAAAATTTGGTGGTTATAATTTTCATGACTTGCATCTTAGAAATTCGTCAACTGTATACCTTGATATCGATGCAATTACTGTGGAGAGGACAGATGTTAGATATAGTTATAATAATACAGAAAAAAATAATTATGCATAACACTGTGGAATTTTTATATTGGCCAACAATCGTTACACGACGTTGAATTTTGAATATATTTTTTAAACAAAAAATTGTTTGCTCATCCGACGCCTCCTCTCCACGTGGACTGATTTGAATTTCCCGCCGATAAACGCAAAGAGAAACCTACAGTCGATACACAATGCCTTTACAATTACTTTACTTAATATTGCTGTACGACTTGTCGAATTGACGCTACTATGCATTCATTAGGGCACTAGAGAGACAGGTTAGCGTAGAGACAGTGCTAGACTTTAATTAGAGAGGTTATGTAAGCACGGTGGATTATTTTTAAAGCCTTCACACAAACAGCGACACGTCGAGTCTGCGGGAAAAAAAGATTCGTTTGCTCCGACACGCCACTCGAAAGAACTTTTAACTAACGCTTTCGCGACAATCGATCGATCGATCGTCGTTGTGGTATATCGCAACTACCATAAACGCTGTTTACCAGCAGTTACAATTCTCCTGCGACTCCTCGACTTCGATCGATCCCTCCAACGTCATTTAGACTTTATCAGTTTTTCGAAAATCTATTAGGTGAAAAATTGGCCCATCATCGACAGCACTACACAATCACGCGCGACGCTAACTTGACCTGATGCGTGTGACAAACAAATAATTCCAACATCGTAGCCCGTTCGACCTGTCATTATTAATAAGAAACTGACGCGACAGTGTAAACATCGTAAATTAAAGACTTATCCGTCTGATAATAAAAAAATTTTATATCACTACCTTATTCGGAACCTGTCATTTTCCCACAAGGAATTTCGCTTGTCATACCTATAACCTAATTAGGATCGTTTAACTCGATTCGCAAATTTATCGAAAGCCAGGATAAATAAATAAATAACCATTGCCGCCATTGGTCTCGCTGTATCGTTTGTCCATAATCAAATCCGCTCGCTATCAACAGCCAATAGCAACGATTACTCAGAATTCACTGGGAACGACAGAGTCGCTCTCTCCATCCTCCTTACTGTGCTAATATACAGTTAAAAAGTCTTGAAAACACTTTCGTCTACAAAAAACAGATTTCACTGTTGTACAATATACGCATTTACAAGGAACGCACGGTAGATGTTCGAAACGCATATCAAAGTACCTTTACAAAAGGTTGACAGTATAAAGTATAAAGATCGAGATATGTATAAAAAGTACACTAGTAGGCAGCTCGTCGTAAGCGTTTTAATTAACGTCTATTAAAGATTCATCGTGCCAGATTGGCCTGATGAAATTACATTGTATACGGAGATGGAAGGAGCCTCTATCGTTCCGCAATGTCGTTACAGAGAGTTATGACGAATAAATATAAGTCACGAGGCAGCGATAACGCCATACGATAAATTCAGTTGATAATTATTATTCGATAATACCGATAGGCAGTCGCGTGCTCACGCAATTTCATCCCTCAAATCTTGCAGGAGGGATGGACGAGGAGTAACGACGCCTGGAGTCTATTTGTAGCATGCGTCACGTAATGGTACGCTAAAAATTGTGTCTCGAAGGCCTGGTGCTTTTTTCTTCTTTTCTCTCTTGTTTCTTGCTCCTCCTCTCTCTCTCTCTCTCTCTCTCTCTCTCTCTCTCTCTCTCTCTCTCTTTGCTATCTTATCACGCAACCTAAAACAGGCTGCGGCATAACAGGTATACACGTCAGAAGAAGCCAGCATCCCGCAATGGTGTGTGCGATGGTACTTTGGTTCGTTTTTTGTCCTCTCTCTCAATGTTACAACAGTGTTTTGCGTTCAGGTCACAAATCGGCGTGTATCGGTAGCACCCTAACAAATGCAGCCGCTTTCGCCTTCCGATTCTGCGCCGTTCTGCATCGGTGATTGATTCTGCAAGTCGACAGCTGCTTTTGTGTGTTAAGGTGGATCAATTGTTTCATTGTCTTTCTTTTCTTTAGAAGAGTGCAGTGGGAGCACCTTAATAAACGTGGATATCGTTACGTATTAAATTAATAAAAATCTAAGATTGTTCTACTTGCTCGTTATACCTATATATAGAGAACGTAGACAAGATAAACACTGTTTTCATAGGCTCGGTGGATAGTAAATAATTTTTCTGTGGACTCTGGAGAGCGTGACGATAGATCCTGCTAATAATTTCGGTTTGTCATTTTTTTTAATTTTTCAAATATTATCAGGCCAAACACCTACTTTCTTTACCGTAAAACGTTAGCTAAAGGTTTAATCGTTCGCTCTCTTGGCAATCGACAATTTCGTTTTGTATCGCACGAATCACATTGAGCACAAATTCGAACAGCAGTTTGCGAGGATAAGCATAGGCGAGTAACGTTTACTTTGCGATATTGATTGAACTATTTTGTAAGTTTTTTTTTTCCTTATTTTTGCTATAATTAAAAAGCGTATAAAATATATGTAGTACAAAATGGGACGGAATATAATCCCGGTAAACATCTTAGTGAGAGTTGCATAGGTGTTTGTAAAGCACCTCTGATTAGAACCATGTTCTCCTCTTTTTCTTTTTTTTTTCTCAGTAAAGCTTACAGCTTTTCTTATATTTTGCGTTAAAAACAAAAGTCTTCTATGTCTTACTGAAAACGATTAGATCAAGAAACAGTATGCGAGGCACACCTCTAAAAGCCATGTGATAAACAAGAGCGAAGCAAACTGGTATAAATATAAGAATACGAAGTAGGAGGTGCATGTGATAAGATAATAAGGTTGAAGATAATGGATAACGGAGCGAAATTAATATAACAGACGTATGACGATCGTTTGAGTGAGTTTTTATATAAATTAAAAGAATACAATAATTGGAATTAATAAAAATGATATCAATATAATTATTAACTACATTAGGGTCCTATTCGTTTATCCATTTCCCAAATTCGAAAAAATTTCATTATTTACAATTCCGATTTTCTTCGCAATTTTCAATCCCACCGTTTTCGCGATCTCTCGCTCTCACGTCGAAGAGCCCATCCGATTTTCAGACTTTGCGAATAATACTTTTACGGAAATTAAGAGAAAAAAGGATGCCACGTGCAACCGACGAACTCGACATGGTCTTAAATGGGGAAAAAAAAGCTAAACTAGTCTGAGTTTCAAAAAGACATGAGTCGATATGAAAATATTGTTTAAAGAAATGTGGGGGGGGGGGGGGGGCCGAAA